CGTCGCCACCTCGTGGCCAAAGTCTGGGATAACCTCTGACATAGTTTGTAATGGTGGTGTAGTTATGTGCCGTGGAGTCAGTTCCAACTCATAGCGACCCTGTACAGGGTTTCCGAGGCTGTAAATCTTTGTTGTTGCTGTTAACTGCCGTCAAGTCGGTTCCGACACATAGCGACCCTGCATAGGGTTTCCAAGGAGCGACTGGTGAGCTTGAACCACCGAGATTGTAGTTGAAACGGCTTTGCAGTCTGGCGCATTAACTCACAGCGCCTCCTCTTTCTCCCGCGGAACAACTGGTAGTTTCGAACTGCTGTCCCTGAGGTGCGCAGCCCGATTGGTAACCACTATGCTACCAGAGCTCCTTTTGTAATGGTTTGGTGAGCCTTGATGTGGTGCTTTCGGATAATCACTGGACCTCAAGGTCAGTTTGAACAAGGTAGACAGTTCAAACCCGCCAACTGCTCCTTGGAAACCCTATACAGGTGGCTGTGAGTGGAACCGATTCGACGATATTTAATAATATTATCAAATGGGTGGAGCCTTTCTGGAGCAGCGGTTATAAAGCTTGGCTGCTAACATGAAATTTGGCGTTTGGAACCCATCAGCAAGCAGTTCCTTGAGAGAAAGATGCAGATGTTGGCTTCCAAAAGATGTACAGCCTTGGAGACCCTATGGGGACGTCCTGCTCTGTCCTATTCCATCACTATGAATTGGAAGTGACTCAACAGCAGTGAATTATCTCAAATCACGAATTCGCTCATCTCGTTTTCTCTCTATTGTTGTTAAGTGCCATCCAGTCGGTTCCCACTCATAACGACCTCGTGTAGGGTTTCCAAGGAGCAACTGATGGGTTTGAACTGCCAAACTTGCTGTCCAGTGCTTATCCTACAGCACCACACCAGGACTCCTCCTTTCTCTCTATAGAAGAAGAAAACGAAAGCAGGGTGATATGCTAGAGTGAAAGTCCTGTGATTTCTAGCTCAGATTCTCACATTAATGTTCTCAGATCACCTTGAATGTCTTGGTGATCTACTTCTAAAAAATCAGCCACTGAAAACTCTCCAATTCTACTCTAACAGCCATGGGGTTGGCATGAGGCAGAACTGACTCATGCCATTATATATATATATAGGGGTTTTTTGTTATTTACGTTTTATTTAATTAAAATTATAACTCAGGTTATAGGATATGTTATATATTGTATTATAGTTATGTAATGAATTTCTTTAATATTTTAAATTTTAAATAAATATCTATGTTCCAAAGCAGGCAGGTCTGAATTTGAGTTATTGTTCTTGCTATCATACATACATCTTGAGCCCAAGATTTACATGATCTTTCCTTTATAATCACAGAAACCCTATGGAGCAATTATATGCTATCTTATAGAGTCGCTGTAGACAGAATCTACTCAATAGTCATAGGGGTTTTATTTTCCTATATGCAAAGCAAGAGAGAAAACAGAAAATTGAGGCAGATCATAGTAAATAGTTCATATATTGAACAATTTTTCAAACCCAGGGGATTATAAACTATATTCATGTTTCCCATTAAAATGTTTTATGGCTAAACAATGTGCAAAGGGCCATTAATCACAGTCTTTAGTTTCGAAACCAAGGATAAGGAGAAAAGCTTTTGTGGCAGGGTTGAAATAAAAGGCAGGGTTGGCAGACAAAGATGAAATGGGTCACTTCTCTTTCTTTGTAGTTCTAAGTAGGAGAATGTCACTGTGAGGGTTTCTTTTACAGTATTTCTTCCAAGTTGCTACTGGAAAACTATGGAGGCTACTAGCCATCTGAAAGGATGGCTCAGGGAGACTTGGTGCTCTGTGAAGTTCCATGGCAGTTGCCATTTCTAGACAAGAGTCTCTCTTTGGGAACTTTATGCTTCTTTGACATTTGTTATGTGTTGTGTATCAAAGAAATCTCAGCATCTCATCATTTATCTCCTAGGAAAATGCTATGAGCAGCAGAAAATCTTCTTCATCAAAAATATTTTGTAAAGAAATCTTATTCATCAGAGAACTTCAGAATAAAAATAGATACTGCTTTTTCAAAGCTAAGAATTCAAGTTACTTCCTTTGAAAAATTGGCAACTTTCTTTGGCCCTAACATATCTTCAGATTTGATTCATGTGTTTTGACTATGAAACTTAATAGGAGGGGGGAAATTTACTGGTCATGTTTATATAAGATTTGGTTTCAAATAATGCACTAATGTTTGAGAGACACTTGTATATTTCCATTAGTTAACTTTATTTGTTGTTATTTTTAGTTGCTCTTGAGTTGACTTCAGTTCATGACTATCTTATATGAGTTGTTGTTGTTGTTAAGTGCCGTCGAGTCAGTTTCGACCCGTAGCGACCCTGAATAGGGTTTCCGAGGCTGTAAATCTTTACGGGAGCAGATCGCCTCATCTTTCTCCTGCGGAGCAGCTGGTAGTTTCGAACTGCTGACCTTCCGGTTCGCAGCCCGATTCGTAACCACTACGCTACCAGAGCTCCTTATCTTATATGAGTAGTTTCAAAAAATAGAATTAAAAGATAATGGGATGATCTTGTCTGTTAACCTTCACTCAATTCACAATAAAACGTGTTTGTTTGGTTTTTTTTTTTTAAATTGGCTTACTGGACTGGTAGAGACTAGAAGACTACCCAAAACTGTAGCCTAGAGACAGTCTTCACACTTTCAACTGAAGCTACCTCTGAGCTCCCAGTAGCTAAGTAACAGATAAATAATGAATAACACCCATAAGTACTATATACTCCTTGAAAATATCACCTACATGAGACCAAATGGTCAGTGTGCCACACCAGGGCTCCTAAATGGTCAATGTTGTTTGTTGTTGTGAAGTGCCTTCGAGTCGGTTCCGACCCATAGCGACCCTGTACAGGGTTTCCGAGGGTGTAAATCCTTACGGGAGAAGAAAGCCTCATCTTTCTCCCGCGAAGCGGCTGGTAGTTTCGAACCACTGACCTTAAGGTTTGCAGCCCGATTCGTAACCACTACGCTACCAGGTCAATAGTTACTTTAAAACAAAGATGAGCTATAAGGAGGCAGGGAAACTAGACCAATGGAAATGGGACAACCAGAACAAAAACCGTGAGAATGTTCGTGCATTGTGAAGAACATAACAAGTATCACTGACCAGTTTGCGTAGAAATTTTTGAATAAGAACCTAAATTGCTATATACACTTTTTGCCAAAAGCATACTAAAATATTGTTTTAAAAAGATAGAATGAATTTTTGTTCAGACTTTTGAAGCCCTCTTGTATATAACAGAACTAAACAGTTAAAAATAAAATATACTTTCTGATTTCAGTGTTGAGTGTACTGTTTTGTTGTTTTAATTTATATATAATAACAGAAACATTATAGTTGCAGTTTAACATTTTATATATGATATACTATGCTGGGTGTTCTATGTACATATTTTATTTTAATATTTTATTAGTATCTAGTTAAACCAATTAGTATCTCTTTGAACCAAGGAGCCCCCTATTGCAGCGCTGTGAAATAATGTACTGCACCACAAGGTTAGTTTGAACTGCAAGGTTGGTGGTTCAAATTCACCAGTCGCTCCTCAGAAACCCTCTACAGGGTTGCTATGAGTTGGAACTGACTCAACGGCACTTAGCAACAACAATCTGAGCAAAATATTTTTCCTTATAAATGTGCAAGTTTAACTGCATGTAACAAAACTAAAACACAAATTCAGCTCCTTTACATATTAGTCTAAAGCATGATTATTGCTCAATATTTTTCATTGGCTTCTAATTTTCTTCTATAATCTGATGGAAGAGCCCATTTAAAAAATATCATTGAAAGAAATGTGCAAGTATGGCTCTGATATGTTATATGAAAAGAAACATATAAGCTAAGGAGAGCCAATCACACTCATTGTAGGGGTGATTTGATGTATCAGAGAAACTCTTGATGAAGAACTGAAATCCAGCTAAGTGGGGCAACCTAGTAAAGATAAGAGGAGAGTATTGTAAGTAACAGCAACAGCATATGTGAAAGGGTGAAATTGTAAGCAGAGGAATTGCATGCACAATGAGGAAAAGTGTTGGAGACAAAGGAACAGCAATTATGGAAGGGGGGATGTGTTTGAACCAAGAGGACTGAAATACATGAGGGGCTTCAAAAAGTTTGTGGAAAAATAGACTAAAAAGAGAATGGAAGATAAAAGGAGAAAATGAAAGAATGGTGATTATGAGTAAGAATATGCTAAAGTGAAAATCCCTGTGATTTCTATACCAGATTCTCATGTTAACCTATCCACAGTTCTTCTTATGTTTTTTTTTTTTTTTTTTTTTTTTAAATGATATTGAACTTCATCATCTCTTCCTCAGATGTAGTCAATTTGATTCCTATGTGTTCCATCTGGTGAGGTCCAAATATAGAGAGGCCATTTATGTTGTGAAAAGAAGTTTATTCATTTTAAAAGAACAAAATTTACAATTTTGGTCTTGCAAAATTCTATCATGTGATCTCTAACATCATTTCTACCATATTTTCCAACTGCTGATCCTTTTTCTTTGTTCTCAACCTTTGCATTCCAATCACCAGTTATTATCAATGTATCTTGACTGCATGTTAGATCAATTTCAGACTGAAGAAGATGGTACGTTTCGGACTTAAGTGGTCCAACTTCTCCTTGCATCCTGGGGCTCTGAATATTCTTAATTGTTTGTTGATCTCTATCTAAATACTCATCAAATTTGAAAGTTGGAAAGAATGTCATTAAACTCAAACCTCAAATGTTAAAACCCAAGCATTGGGAATGTAAGTGGCAGCTTCAGGTCTACAGTATTAGTTGATGGCTTACATGGAAATTACTATTGTACCCTTGAGTACTTTTGTAACCAGTCGTCTCATTTATCCTTTAGAAAAAGAAAACAGTGTGCTGGATTGAAAATCATAAAATATAAATGCAATGGAAGCTATATGGTCAATTTTGATGGGAATTATGTATTTATTTATTTTAACTTTTTACAGTTTAACAGCAATGCCCAAGATGTGAGCTGTTTTGAACACCTTGTTCAAGCAAATGTAAGAAATAAGAAAGTACTGAAAGATGCAGTGAACAACATCACAGCAAAAGGAATCACAGATTATAAGAAAGGCTTTAGTTTTGCTTTTGAACAGCTGCTAAATGTAAGTATCAGTGATGCCTCCCTTTTCTCTTTAGTATTGAATAGTTGTATCTGAGTTCAATATCCTGATAGTTGCTACTATCTATGGTAAGATATGGCTAATGCGGTTTTCCATTTATTTATAATACAAATGTGATCATACATTAGCTATTTTTAAATTTGTGTTTTCAACTTAATATTTGAATGGTTTAAAAATGTAGATTTTACTTTTCTCATGTATTTTCTTCCATTTTCAAACTATTAAACAACACATTTAAAAGCTGATTACTGAATGTTGAACAAGTACATCAGAGGTTTGAGACTTCCCACATAACAAGCCCAAGGGAATGTTGTTTTTGGGTGGGCACTGATGTCGTGGTCATTACTACTGTAATAGGAGCTTTTGTCTAGTACAGAGTAAGCTCATTATTGCTGTCATATTGGCTGAAATAAAGGATGAATCCTTGCATTTTTGTCTTTCCTGCAAATCTGACATTTTGGTTCCCTGGGTTAATATTTTAAGCAGCTTTCGAGATGTCAGATTGGTTGATTCATTCATTTGTTCTTTCAGCCAATATTTATTGCGTGCTTCACAAATTCTTGTCACGGTGCTGGTGCTGGGATTTCAGACATAAACAACACTGTCTGCTCCCAAGAAGTTCCAGAATAACATCCTGAATCATCATTCATAGTTTAAGGTGAAAGTGCTGGTATAGGGTATTCAGATGTGGAGCCGTAAGCAGAGAGCCTCCACTTATCCAAAGAAAGATAGGAAAGTGTGGCATTTCTTTAAAATGGGAACCTTGACAAACAAATAGATTCTATGTATGCAGATTAGAGAGGCAAAATCATTTCAGATTAAAAAAATAAAACAACTTAAAAATTTATAGAAATACAAAACAACATTGCACATGGAAAGAATTGCGGGAGGTTGGACACATTTGTCTTAAAAGTGGTTTTAGCGTATGAAACATAAGCAATGCAGCAGTACAGAAATGAAAGACCAAAAAGTATCCATTCATGAAGTACTTAGGAACAAAGCAAATTGATGACATTATAATGACATGGTCCAAAGACTGTTCTAAGGTAGGAAGCTATTATAGAAATCTTACTGATTTGAACTGCTTGCGGTTCAAACCCACTAGCTGTTCCTTGGAAACCCTATACAGGGTCTCTATGACTTGGAACCGACTCGATGGCACCTAACAACAGCAACACTGTGGAAATAGAAGTAAAGAAAGATTAAGGAAAAGTGATGTGGGTTTGGTAAGGGGTTATTGATAAGATGGGGTCAGAGGAGATTTGAGGTTGGGAGGAGGATTAATATGACTAGTCTCTCTGATCTTGGATAGTAGTTGAATATTTGTTGTTATTAACTGTTGTTCTGACTCATAGTGACCCTGTGTAGGGTTCCCAAGGAGTGGCTTGTGACCTAGAACCACCGACCTTGCAGTTCAAACAGACTTTACAGTCCAGTGCATTAACCCATGGCGCCACACAGCACCAATAAATAAAGGGAATGTGAGGGCAAATAGTTCAGTTTTGGAACTACTGGTTTTAAAGTGGTGATATTTAAGAGGTACAATTATATATGTGAGTAAGAAGTCAAGAAAGCAGAGAAGTTCAGCACTGCAGTTTTCAGGGAAGATTGCCTTCGGTAAAATGGGCATAATTGTGAAATATTCTATGTTTCTACAAAATACGTAACAAGTCAAAACTTTGAAATTCAAATACAATTGATTATTAGTTTGAAATGCATTCTTCCTCTATAAAGAAGTATATATTTTTTATAAAATAAAAATTTGTTCGTGAGTCAATAATAGAGTTTTCTAGATCTCCCTTTTCAGTTCTTCATATTTTTAATTTCCTCCATTGCATTCTCTCATTTAGATTTTAATTGTGAAATGATAATGTGTCTCAAGCCTAATGTACTTTTTGTAGACAGTCTCATTAGAGAGACGACATTAATTCCCAGATTTGTTGCTAGCTAGCTACTGATAAAATATGATTTAGCTCTCATAAAGCCTTCACTGTAGTTGTGCAAGTTTTTGTAAATGTGTTCTCAGTTATTCCCTAAATCTCACATGCTCTGCTTTCCATATTTCCTTTATGTACTGAAATTTTTCACTTTAAAAGAATTATCTGAAATTTCATGACTTGGCTTACTGAACTATGAAGCATAGTTTATGTCTTTCATATATTGCAATCATCTTATATTATGTAATGCCATATAACTTTAAGATGTAATGTTCCTGTAGACCACTGTAATGCTCCTCCTGTAAACCACAAGTAGCTAACAGAATTAAGTATATAATTTATTATAACAATAGACCTGAGGGTAAGATGTGATTTAGTTCTTCAGGTAACATTTCATAAAATATTGCCAAATATATTGAGTCTTTCTTTTTCAAGAATATATTGCATATTTGATAGGTGCTAGTTCTGGTCTGCCACTGTGGAATAATACACTGCACCACAAGGTTTGTTTGAATCACAAGGTTGGTGGTTCAAACTTACTAGCCACTCCTTAGAAACACTATATAGGGTCACTGAGTTTGAACCAACTCAGTGGCACTTAGCAACAACAACAACATACTATTTTCTAGAGTCCTAGTGTGGTGCTGTAAGATAAGCACTGGATCACAATGTCAATTTGAACCACAAAGTCGGCAGTTAAAGTCACCAGCCACTCCTCGGAAATGGCCCTAAACAAGGTTTCTGAGGAAACCAACTTGATGGCACTTAACGATGACAACAACATCTTATATCTGAAATCATGGTATGCCACTGTAGGATAAGAACTGGACTACTAACCACAAGGTTGGTGGCTCAAACCCACCAGCCACGCCGCTGAAATCCTACCTAGGATCACTGAGTCAGAATTGACCCGATGGCACTTAACAACACATTAGATCCTCTATACCAAGGAATCCTGGTAGCTTAGTGGATTTGGAGTTGGGCTGCTAACCTCAAGGTTACTAGTTTGAATCTCCAGCTGTTCTGTAGGAGAAAGATGAGATTTTTTTGCTCTTGTAAAGATTTATAGCCTTGGAAATCCCCTGTAGGGTTGCTATGAGTATGAATCAAAACTTCTTTTTTTTTTTCCCATCCTTGGGAGAAAGATGAAGCCAAATAGATTTATAGGCTTGGAACCCTGGGAACAGTCTGTTCTGGCCTTTAGGATCATAGGCGTCAGAATCAATTCAGACTTATGGGTCTAGTATATATACATATGGAGTCCTGGTGTGGCGCTGTGGGCTAATGGGTCAGACTGCAAAGTCGTTTGAACTGCAAAGTCAGTGGTTCAAGCTCACCAGCTGCTCCTTGAAAACCCTATACAGGGTTTCTAGGGGTCAAATCAACTCAATGACACTTAACAACAACATATACATATATATTCTCTAAGTGTTCGGGGATGGAACAAAGTAGGTTATGAAATATCATGTTAAGGTAAATTGACAAGTCTACTAATTATAATTTATTGAAATAATCATTTTTTTCATTACTTAATTTGTGATAACCCAGCTGTTGTGACTTTTTGATTTCTTAGATAACTGTAAACCCACTGAAAGTTTGCTTTGATATACTTTACTTTACCATTCTAAGAACACTTCTAGGAATCATCAGATTGAAACCAAAGCATATTTTATTTTTTTCCAAATTTCCCTTTTACTCTATACCCTTAGTCTGTGTCTCTTAGGAAAGCTGATTATAATTTTATTTACAGTACTGTTTAGGTGATCAATAAGACCTCTTGTGCTAACTTACACTGATGTTTGCATTCAATAAAAATGATACTATCACCAATAATTGAAATGTAAAACTATATCCTACTGTCAAACTTTACTCATTTCTTTTACTTTTATTAAAGCTGTTATTGTAAATTGAGTGATAGTTTACATGGGAGAACATAGGTTTAGCTTCCAATCCCCACCATACATCATCGGTTAACAGCATTTGCTTCTATTCCCTCTGATTTTTTTTTTTTTTTTTTTTTAATGTATACAAAAACCTGCAGGAATCCAGGTATGGTGCTGTGGGTGAATGTGTCGAACTGCAAAGTCATTTGAACTGCAAGGTCGGCGGTTCAAGCTCATCAGCTGCTCCTCAGAAACCTTACCACAGGGTCGCTATGGGTCAGAACCGACTCTACAGCACTGAACAACAACAACAAACAACCCAAGGGCACATTCTGCAAGTTAGCATCCAGGCTGTCAGCACACAGCCTTTCTCTTTCCATGAGTCTAGAGTCCTCAGCTGCTCTGTCTCTCTATGCCTCCATATCTGGTGTTGATGCTTCTCTGGTTAGAGTCCCACCTTCCTCTCCTGCTCTTCTCTCTTGATGGTCCTAGAGGTCGTCTGTTCCTGGAATGTAAGATTAACTACTCCCACCTTTTTATTACAAAACTTCTACCTTTAAAATTGTGAAAATCACAATTAGTCATGATAACAATTACTCACTATTGAATCAAATGGATCCTATCCCTATCTCCTTTCATCAGACCCAACTAGCAAGAGGAAAACTACTCAGTGGGGATTCTATCTTTCCCTGCACACTATGAAACTAACTACCTCTTGAAAACTTGTAAGCCAGCCATTTCATGCCTTTATAGCCCCTTCCCCCGTTTTAGGTAGCCAATGTCTAAGTTGCCTATCCCTATATGCTGAGGGGATATGTTTGTTCTTTGATGTGAAGACTCCTTCCTTCTATGTTGGTATTTTGGATTACTACCTCCATAAAGTACAGATCAGGTTCATCAAATTGTAGCAATTTACAGGTGTGTCCATTATCAAATATATTTATCTTCCTCTAGTTGAGTTCTGCTGTGCATAGGGTCGCTATGAGTTGGTACCAACTCAATGGCACCTAACAACAACAAAGTTGAGTTCTGATTCTCAGACCATCAAGGCAAGGTCAAATAGAAACTATCTGAAAGTTTGGGTTTTCTTGTGCCCCCCCCCCCACTTCATATCAGCTGGATGCTTCACTCTTAGCTCTTAGCCCTCCACAGCTAGGTCATTGTCCATGGGCTCAGGAGTTCCCAAGTCTCCCCAAACATCGAACCAAACAGCCCTCCCTCTTCTCTCTTTCATCTCAAGGTCGACAGGAGTCTATGGAATATGGTTGAACTCAACCCATATCTTCATCACTGCCTTTCCCCCAATTCCACTCACATGTAGATCAATGCAGTTTTGCCAGTAAGCTTACAGGACTGTTCATGTGTTCCCATTGGTTTCATTCTTTTAGGAGCCTTTGTCCTTAAGGGACTTGATTCCTTGCCTTGATGGCTCCCTGGTGAACAGCTTGCTTGTTCTTGTAATAACCAAACAGATTGCAAGTTGTTGTTGTTGTTGTTGTTGTTTTCCTGCTGGTCTTTCTTTTAAGAAATATCTTCTGTCCCTCTGCTCCAGGTTGGTCTACATGTCCTTTCAAGTGGAAATATCCTACCTCAGAAGGCTCTGGATGGGGCTCAGGATTCCACTTAAGGTCCTATACACTACAAAGGCTGGGCAAATTCTAGAACCCCTTTTAGGTGTATTCCAATCAGTTACAGGCTTCAGAATGACTTATATGCTTTCTCTAATCATGTTTCCTGATGTTCTTTTCTATCCCAAACATATATCTATTTTACAATAGTAGGCAAGGGAAAACAATATCCATAAGACAGTCAAGTATCTTAATATTATTTCCCCTCTTTTACCCATTTAGATTATGTTTCGAATCCGGTATCGCAGAGCCCTGTTGTTCCAATGTTGAGCATGCATCACTATTTACCTCTGTCTCATTTAGCTCACACAAACCTAAGTATTCCCCTATTTACCTTTTCTTCCACCTCATCCCTTCTTGTCCTTCCCAACACCCAAGCTATGATGTTACTATCCCCTAACCTGTGCTCTACTGTTCAGGTGTTTCCTTTAGTTGAGAAACAGCCTAGGTCTGGTCAGAGCTGTTTTGGAGGAGCGTCTCATTTTAAGTTGTTCCTGTTGACTCCTCCCCCTTCTTTGTTTCTGGGACCAGTGGTTTTTGCTGAGCAGATCCCTGGCTTACATAGCAGAACCCTTCGGGGCTGGGATGGGCACTCATTCAGTCACATCCTCTAGGCACCAGAGTGGAGTTGCACAGACCGAGAAAGAGAAATGAAGAGAAAAAAAAATTGTTCACACCTTTATCTCTGACAATTGGTAAGACCTCTGCAATGGGATTTCTCTCTTGCTCTTGTGTCTGCTTCATCCCACTCAAGATGGCTTCACTGGGACTCGATGGCAGCCACAACTTAGAAATCACCACTTTTCTTGCTTCTGCTACAAATTGCACTAGCAGTAAGCCTTTGATACTTATAAATATTCCTTTATATGTAGGTCAGAATCCTGGGACCCTTCCCTGAACCTGCTGCATCCCCATTTCTTTTACTTTTATAATATAGTTATTTAGTTGTTGTTGTTAAGTGTTATCAAGTCCATTCCAACTCACAGCCACACTATATAGGGTTTCTGAGGAGCGGCTGGTGAGTTTGAACTGCTGACCTTGTGATTAAAACCAACCTGTGTTCTAGAGCTTATGCACCATAATGCCACATCAGGACTCTAAGTTCTTTAGTTGCTGCTGTTTTTGTTAATTGCTGTTGAGTTGGTTCTGACTCTTAGTGATCCTGTATAGGGTTTCCAAGGAAGAGCTGGTGGATTTAAACTTTGGACATTGTGGTTCACAATCCAGTGCTGATCTTGTAGAGCCACACCACGAGTCCAAGTTCTTTAGTAGATATATGTAATTTTTCCATTTGGCACAAGCATATCCAGAAGACAAGTCATCAGAGAAATGAATTTTAATTTAGGGACTTCAGGCATCTTCCACAAACATATGTTAAGGATAAAATATATCATTTTTGGCACAGTCAAATTTTCAGAATGATTATCTTCAAAGATAAGAACTATACTTGAATCTGGCAAACTGTACCTACAGTCAGTATTTGTGTTTTCACAATGCTTGATTGAAAGCTCTTAGTGCCAGTGTTCTAATAGCCTTGTAAATAAGGTGAAATTATATAAGACAAAATCTTTTAATCATTAAAACAGACTCTTTTCTTTACAAATTTTTACAACAAGAAATTAAATTTATCTCTTCTTTGAAAAGTAAGATATAGTACCAGACTTTCAAGAAGCTTGAGCACTATAGAAGAATTGATGATTTAAAAAAATATTAGTCACTTAAAGATCTGGACTACGTTGTCCATTGTAGTAACCACACTCGCATGTGACTCTTAAGCACTTGCCAAGTGGCTGACTGAAATTAAAATGTGTTATAGTTACAATATTAAAATACAAATCAAATTTTGAAAACTGTGGGGAAAAAATGTAAATTTTTCCAATAGTTTCTATATTGATTTCATGTTGAATTGAAACATTTTCATTTATTGGATTAAATAAAATAAACTGTTAGAATTAATTTCAGCTGTTCCTTTCTTCTCTTTTTTCATGTGGCCATTAGGAAACAAAATGACATATGTGGTTTATGTTACATTTCTATTGGACAGCACTGGGCGGCAGGTGACATTGACAATGAAGCTGAACAGTCATAAATTGGTGTGATCTTTTATTCTCAGCACTTTTGCAAATACATTGCACAACAGAAGAAAAACAGAAATTTTAATATCATGCCTTAAGTTTTATAGTCCGGCCCTCTGTATTTGTTCATTTTAGTTTCCCTGTGGTACTAATGTATTGTTTTCCCTTGTCTAAATACTTTGGTGACCTGGAAAAAGTTTAAGAATTTGCCATTAGAACTGTGCATTAAAGAACTAAAATATTTGCATATATGTCTGTATCAGTTTGAGAGGAAATAGAAGTATATTCTAAAACTATGTATCAGCATTTGCAAAGATAGTAGTTTTGTGTATTAGGGGATCCACAGGACTTTGCAATTTCAAGAATGCCAAGTGAATAATGTAAGTGGAAAAAGGAGATAAAAGATGAAGAAATGGATTAACTATACATTTGAAAATATGTGCACATTTTATGAATATTATTTTTATTTCTTCAGTAAAATAATGTCATTGTTGTGTTAAGTGCTGTCGAGTCGATTCCGACCCATAGCAACCCTGTATAGGGTCATGAAATTGACAATAATAGGGGCATGGAATTGGCAAAATTATCATTTCTTAATTTACAGACTGTTTATTTTAACTGTTGAGTAATTATGTGCTAAAGTAGTCTTCTGGGCAGGGAAATAGCACTGAATAAAAAAGACAAAACCTAGTGTTCTCATGGCACTTATGTTCCATTGGGAGGAGCCAACAAAAACCAAATAAAGAAAATATATACTATACAACCCATATGCCCCCTCCAAAAAAACCCTCTGCTATTAAGTCTTTCCAACTCATAGGGACCCTAGATAAGGTTTCCAAGATTTACTTTAAATCTTTATGGGAGAAAACAGACTCATCTTTCTCCCGCAAGAGGCAGAATGAAACTGCTATGTGTATATATATATATAAAGTCTGGGAGGGAGTTTGCAATTTAAAATACAGGTCCAGAAACCAGTTCCTAAAATACATTTGCTGAGCAGATTGCTCACTCATTACTTGAAACGTGTTCATGCTCTTTTTATATGACTTGATAGCACCTCTTTTATTATGAATATGCATTTTATTGGGTTGTTTTTTTTTTTGTTTTTAACAGTATAATGTTTCTAGAGCCAACTGTAATAAAATCATTATGTTATTCACGGATGGTGGAGAAGAGAAAGCCCAGGAGATATTTTCCAAATATAACAAAGAGAAAAAAGTGAGTATAACGTTATACAGTATTTAAATTTTAATTTTCATCTAGGAGTTATTGAGGAAGTAGTTGGGGAAAGAGTGCGGAAGGATTCATGATTAAAACTACTACAGAGCTGATTAAAAAGTCATAGGGTTTGTAGATTATAAACTAATAACTGACTTCGTTTTATGAGACTCCAAGTATATTGTGACTAATACATTCATAAAATAATCTAGAAATACAGACCTTATTTGATCCTTATTCCTAGATTCTAGATAAGACAACTTTATAGGTAAAGAGAAACCCAAAAAAAGGAAAAATAGAAACAATGTAAGGAGTCCTGGTGTGGCGCTGTGGGTTAATGCGCCAGACTGCAAAGCTGTTTGAACTGCAAGGTCGTTGGTTCAAGCTCACCAGCTGCTCCTCGGAAACCTGATACAGGGTTGCTGTGTGTCGGAATCTATTCGACGACACTTGACAACAACAAGGTGGTCTAAGACAGATTCACCATATCATTTAATTATTAAGGTTTTGTGATAGTTACCTACAGAGTTGCAAATAAATCAATTTAAAACAACAAAGAAACTGTGTCCTTATTTAAAAACAGATTCTGTTCAAAAAAAGATTTAAGACAAACACTTATGGGCAAAACATAAAAAAATATATGTTATTTGAATAAGTCATGAAAGTTGCTAAGGTCATTTTTTAAAATTTATTTTGTATGTAGCTGGTCCCTAACTTGAAATGTATTCAAATAAATTACAACAAACAACAGTAAGAACATTTGGGTCTTGTTTTGTCTTTTAATCAGATTGCTAGTAATATAGACTACATGGAATGTTAAAATCTGTAAGTTTATAGGTAATGTTTCTAACTACATAGGCAAATGAAGTCAGATTTATAATGACAGTAATAATAAAAGGCAATGATAATGAAATTTTCTTTAAAAAAAAATCAAGGTATTTGGCTTATACAAGAACCGATGCACGACAGTCATTAGAATGAAGCCCATGGTAAGTCAGGGACTACCTATATATTGTTTCAAAGTTTGTTTTTGCTGTAAGAGGACAGTAGCATAGAGGGACCTAACTGTTTTGAAAGTTCAACCACATAGCTGATTCTGTGGCTTCAAGTGTGGAGAATATCAGCTTCCATCAATACTGTATCTTTATGGCAGTCCTACCATCAACTTGTTCCATCTTCCTGATTGACTCTGCATTTTATGAGGGGACAATGATTCCCAACTGGAGTTCCCTAAAATGTTAAGGGTTCACAAAATAGTTAAGAAACTAACTAATTGTTGTTGTCATTTAGTACTGTGGAGTCAGGTCTCCTGAGGCTTTAAATCTTCACACAAGCAGAAAACTTTACCTTTCACCCAGGAGCGAATGGGAGACTTCAACTCGCAGACCTATGGTTCAAAGTCCAGTGCTTATTGTATGCAAAATGTTAATTGCAAAAATAAATAAGTAAATAAATAAAATAAATAATTAGCAACAACCATCCCTTACACAACATTTTCTATTCATCTGGGTTCATAATTCATTGGAATGGCTACACAGAATTCAGGCACATAGTTATGAGATTTTTTAGAGTAGTTAACAGGTTACAAAGCAGGATCAGAAAATGTTCAAGGCATGGCTCTTCCAGTCAGAACAGTTTCTCCTCAGCCATGCCCATAGGCAGGTTGCGCTCTGCCTGGGCAATGTTATAAAAGTCATTTAGGATTATTGATAAGAGTTTATAGGGAACACCATTCTACCATAAGCCTCACTCAGCCTGGCTCTAGATCCATGGGTCAGGCAAACCTAGCTTTCCCAATTAAGTGCCTGGGACCACCCCACTCTCTAAGCAAGCCTCCTGCCTAAAGTCAGTCCGTTTTATTTGTGCCGTAGCTGGGCTGCCCATTGTTCTGTCTCGTTCTCTGACTGTTGGTTCTGCTGCTGCTACTCCTCTGCACTGTTCTGGTTTCACATCTTTCATTCCCTGGGTTGAGTATGTTCAATGCGCAGGGATCTCTGGGTCAAAAGGACCTGTCCACTGCTGGCTCTTCAACTTTTATGGTAATGAAAGTTCCCCTTCTTCTTCTGAGATGGCTCATTTTACACCCATGCCAGAGTTATTACAATTTTTACAATCACAACTAACTTTGTTAACAATCAGAATTAGATCATATCCTGTCAGCATCTTCTCCCACTTTTTCTTACCCAGACTCAGCAGGCCAAAAACATTGCTTGGTGGCAGTTACAAAGACTACAGGTAGAGGAGTGTTGTTGTTAAGTGCCATCGAGTCAGTTCGGACCCATAGCAACCCTGTATAGGGTTTCCAAGGAGCAACTGGTGAGCTTGAACCACCAACCTTGTAGTTCAAACGACTTTGCAGTCTGACTCATTAACCCACAGAATGAAGTAATTCACTGCACAGTGTTAATAATAAGAGAAGTAGTCTGCAGAAAGGGGAGGTTTGTGAGTAGACTCTCTGTGCTTTCTGCACAATTATTCTATAAACCTAAAGTGTATTAAAAGTAACAATGGAGTAAATATGCTTTTTCGTACTTCAGTAATTGTAATATAAATGTTACATTCATCTGCTGTAGAGAATACTGTTGTTGTTGTTGTTGAGAAACTGACTAGCAGTTTGAACTCATAGTGACCATTTGAATAACAGAATGAAACAATGCCCAGGCCTGTGCCATCCTCACAATTGTTACTTTGTTTTGCTTTTGATTGAATTTTTCATTGTTTAGCGAGGTAAAGCACATCACTAGCTCTGATGAGTTGTTTTATATATCTTTACAGATGTATTTTTTTAAAAAGAAAAAAATATAAGTTAATATGTTTGAAAATAAGTTAATATGTTTGAAAATATTGTGAATAATAGGGAACAGTTTTGACAATCTTTGAAGCGCTCAGGTACTTTTAGCTTATATGCTATTTGAAATTTGACAGAGGATTAAAAATCTCTTACTGCATATAATTTAAAATCATTCCACATCTTTTGAATGCTTAATTATCTTTGAATATTGTGTGTGGCATACGTTTAAGGCAATGCGTTAAGTTGTTTTTGCTGCCATAAAATTACCTGGTAATTTTATGGTACAAAATAGCCACTCCTTTTTAAAATGTTGATAACTGGTATGAATTGTTAACAGATTGAGAGTACTTTCAAATGATTATAACATCATTCTACAAGGGTGAGTCAAAAATTATCTGCACTTTGGTTACATTAAAATGCCTTGATGAAAAAATTGAGCGTGAATGTGAAATGATTCTGTCCAGTAGACAAGTGACAGTGGATTATGTGGCAAATCATTTGCAAATCAGCATGGCTTTGCCTATAAAATAATCCATGTCAGACTTGGGTTTCGAAAAGTTTTTATGAGATGAGTACCAAAACAACTCACAGAAGAGCTTAAATAGAAGCATTTAGACATCTGCAAACAAAATTTGAACCGATGCTCAAATGAAGGTAAAAAAGTTTCTTAAAAAGGAACTGGTGACAAGACGTGAATTCATCGCTTTGATCCTGACAGTAATTGCAAAGTATGGAATGGAAACAGTCTTAATCACCCACCAACGAAACATTGAAAAGTCAACCATCAGCTGGAAAATTGATGCTCACAGTTTTTTGAGATTCTCAAGGGCCACTATTGAAACACTATCAGGACAAGGATTCAGCAATCAATAGTGCTCATTTACAGGGAGGTGCTCACTGTAAAGCTGAAGCCTAAACCTTGGATCAACCACAGAGGACAACTTAGCCAGAGTCATTGGGATCTTGCATGACCAAGCACACCCACACACATTTATACCCACACTGTCGACACTCTGCAAAAACTTCATTTGAAGTGCTAAAGCATCCTCCCTATAGTCCTGATCATGCTTCATTGGATTTTCACCTGTTTGTTCCCCTGAAAGCAGCATTTTGAGGACTAAGATTCACCTCTGTTGATGAAGTGAAGGCAGCAGTGCATTCGTGGCTTGCAGCTCAGCCAAAAACGTTTCTTAACAAGGGAATATGAAAGCGTGTTGACAGATGGACAAAGTGTACTAAAAAGCAAAGAAGGAGATTATGTAAAAAAAATGATGTATTTGTCTTTTCTAAAAGTTGATTAAAATAAATCCTACAGTCAGAATACAGATAAATTTTGACTTATGCTCAGCTAAGTATTTCTCTTAAAGAAGCCTGAGAAAAATATTAATTAATGCAAAAATGCATGAATGTAACATAGAATCTACTTACATTCTATAGTAACTGCTATTCATCACTCAAAGGTCGGGGCCATCAACACCTCCTGGATGCCATTCCAGACTCCCAGACTTATTGAGCTGCTTGGTTTCAGATACCACAGAGCACACTGTACACAGCCCTACCTACATGAGCTTTTACCCAAGGAATAGCGAATGTGGCCCGTCTCTGGGTTACAAATCCTTCCAAACCTGGCCTGTGTATTGTTTCACTTTGAACTAAGCGAGGATCACGGACTCATAGATAATTCTTAGTACATGACAATAAAATAAATTCAAAATATCTAACAAAAGTTGGAAACATGAGTTCTGTTACAGGGTAAATTCATAATTATAAAACATAACTGGGTGAAAGGGATATTCTAGTTGTTCACATATTCTAAGTAATCTAATATTACTATGTTTTGAAGATCTCAAATATAATAAACAAAATTCTACTGTATTAGTGTAATAAAATACATTTTTCTAAAAATATACTGAGTTATTCTTATTCTGATCACTGGGCAAAGTTCTTGGCACCATATATTCAATGATAAATTACATATATTTTATTTTTCTTGATAAAAGTATATAAGTACAAGTTCCTACTTGTGCTGTTTTTTTGATAGGAATACATTTCAGGAAGTTTTATTTTCCTTTATGATGACATCATCTAAACCAATTACTAGGAATTTTGTTCATTACTGTGTACTTTTCTTCAAAAAGGAAACATTACTAAATAAATTTGGCAATGAATTTGACCATCTAAAATAGAACCAGTCTTGATTTTTTAAAAA